CTTTCGGAATTTGTCAAAAATTTTCAAGATTCATGAGTTAGCTCATTTGCCAGTCCTTAGACTAGAGTTACTCAGTTGGCATAGTCTCCGACTAAAAGCCGAGAGGTTGTGGATTCGAGCCTCGGTCGGGTCACTCGTCTTTCTTCCTATCGATGTAGACAAATGAATACCGCTATGTGGAAAAGAAACATGTGACTTGAAACTATGCTTGTTACAGCTGCTATCCACTGTTTTGAAAATAAAGATCTCCAGGTTGACGGCATGGAAAGTGAGATCATCGCCTCACCAATAAGTTTCCATTCTTGACAATACCAGGGAAAGATTATATTAGTTGCATGGGAAAGACCGGCTACTAAATTTATAGGTGAACACTGTACGGAATATTTTTACAAATAGACTATAACAATTTATGCAAAAATGCAATTCAAATGATGTAACAAATTGTTAAAAGCCAACATCGCATAATAATTTTACTACAACTCGTTGCAACAAAAGCCCTGCCGGTATTTTGCTGGGGTAACATTGTGTTCGCATCTATGCACCGCTGTAGCGGTGCATTTAGATACGTTTTTTAGCGCGTATTTCAGAGTATATTGCGTAAAACTTCCTTCTTCGAACATTCAAAGTGGGTGTATCTCTGCAGGGTTTTGAGTGAAGTATTAGTAATAAAGGATTTTCGTACAACTGTACTTTAGCAGTTCAAACTGGGCAACAGAGCAAGCAAGGCAACGCATAAGATTAACCAGAACGAGGCAGAATGCTCCTGATGAAAGCATACTACAATACTGCTTTGAAACAATTTCAGTCGGAAGATGCGATTCTCGGAAATGATTGCTGTACTAATGTCATTCCGACGATAATGACGACTGCTTGAAAACGTAAATTGAAGCTGAACCAAGAAAAACTGTACGAGACGTTGAGTCAGACATTTGTTTAAGCGTTGCAACTGTTTCGAGTATCTACACGTTAAATGGAAAACTTGTCGACTTGATATCAGCTTATCGCTGACCATAAGAAAGAACGACAGTTTCTCGGTCGAATCATTACGTGTGACAAAAACCAGATTTTGTACGACAAACATATGACCTAATGAGTCACAGTGCTCATACTCGTGTCTCCCAAATCACTTTCTGGAAAACTAACCCACAGCTTACACGAAGCTGTCACTCACTAACCCGATACAGAAGACCTTTTGCCACTACCTTTTTTACATATATTCGACAACTTCCTGCGGCAGAAATCATTCTCTAACAAAGAATCGATGAAAACTGCATTCACGCAGTTCACTGGTATCGTAAATCCAGCATTTTTTCGCCAAAATGACACATACGATTTGTAACTCATCTGAATGTGTTGACTCCAAAGAAGCGTGTTTTGACTGCCTGATTCTAATTTGCGTAAAAATATTCAACAAAGTTGCGGCTGAAAACCGACAAAGCTGTTTAAGCAACCAAATATATAACCTGAACGTTTCAGATTATATCAGATTCGGCTTCATGGAACAAGAGGTCTTATTCATTGAAGACCGTTTAATTATTATTGAAAACGTCCAGAGGCTGTAGGTATATAACAATAAAATTACCATAGTTGTACTCTCGAAACGGGTGGTTTTGAGCGAAGAAGACATTGAATCAACATTTAACTGTATAAATTTTCTTAAGGAGAAGGGGGCATGCGCAAGAAGAACTGTCTGAGCAAGCCTCAGGACGAAAGATTTACTCATTTACTGTACCAACGCAACTATGAAATTTTGCACATGGTGATACAAAGCACATTTGAAAATGAGAAATAATTAAACGATCATTCAAAGCAAATACTACCTTTCAACTTTTGGAGCAATAACTTCGATCTCCCTGTCACTCGGTGCAGCGTGACTCCTCAAACATGAAGCTTATTTCAGTTAACCTCTGAAATCTGTCTTACTTTTCTTCCGGATATATTCTTTCCAAGTTTTCACGAGGAGAAGCAACGTCATCAGCAAACTTTTTCCTGTTATGTTCACGAAGTTTATTTTCTATATCTTTCTAAAATTGAGTATGCGATCATAAAAGCAATACAATAAAACTATTCTCTATATGTTCTTACAAACGCCCCTAGAAATGACTATGTGATTAATTACCGTAAATATATTAATTAACAGCGAGCATGTTTCGCTTCTTAGCTTATAGGACAGCGTTGGACCATCTACAAGCAGAAGTGTACAGCATAAATGTAAGGTCGTACCGGTTACCAAGGCATGCTGTCGACCGCGCGAAACTTACCTGAATCGGTACTGGTATTCGAGGAAAAAGAGTGCAGTACCACTCAAGTTTCGTAAGAAGGAGCTTGACCATTTGGCCGATAGTCATCGCGTCCCCTCCACCCGCCTTCGGATCAACCTCCTATAAGATATACATTTGTGAGACGTTCGGGCAGAGATACGCTGACAAAGTACCTACCTCATCGTCGTCCAGGTATGGCTCGTACCAGTCCCAAAACGTATGAGGATGCAGACAATATCTGACGTACATGAATCCGAGGCCGCGAATATAGCAAGAATCTGCGTGGTTCAGCAGGCCTGTCACCTGCTTACGGGTCAATTTCAATGTGAACAGCTTGTACAGCAAACAGTATGCCGAACTGACTACACCCCCGGCGCCTACCCCACGAACCTAAAGTAAGGTGTGAAAAGTGACCAGTTTCAAAATTAATAAAACAATTTCACATATGACATAAAATGAGAGGAATTATATATCAGAAATGCTTATTTTGTCTAAAAATTGCCTCTTTTCAAAGCATCGAAAAGATAGTGCGTTATCGTCGCGTTAATAATATACACACCGAAAACGACTGTCCTCAGGAAAGACTATTACGGCCTATAAAAGTCATTTTTAAGTGTTGAGCTAATGACAAATAGGGACTCTGAGAAAACAAAGAAGAGTGGCAGATCACCGATTACAAAACCGATGCGCCTACAATGTCACTCTTACAGTGGCTGAGGTCTATATGGTGAACAAGCGTGTACCAGCTTTAGTTTGAACTTCACCAATGTCTTTCTAAGCTTTGCGGTATGCTTGGTTTTCATGCTTAGGACCAACTAGTCTGTAAACAGGATTATCTAGCAATTTGGTCGGTTGTTAAGTGAAAACAAGGTAACAATACTGAAGCAGCATACCCTTTGAACAAACCTATCTGACTATGGTTCGAAGGCGTTTTGCTACTAAGCGCGAAGAAAAATAAGGAATTGTTATTAGTTCATCATGGCAAAGCCGTGGATGGCGTTTTCTGTCTGATCTCCACATCCCTCAACCATTCTGATATGAAAGAACTTCCAGGAGATGATACAAGGTAAAAAAGGATACAAAGATCACCATCTTGAAATCAGCTGTATTCACTTGCTTTCGTACAGCCCCGAAACATCCTCCCTCCTGAAGCGTCATCAAGCCCGTTTAAACAGCTTCCAAAAACGTTGGTTACGCAATATCCTCAAAGTACGATAATACCACCAGGCCATGAAGGCGCAGATGCTGACAATCACTGGTCTGAAAAATCTATCGGATGCACTTCGAGACCCGCATCTGGACTGATCTGAAAAACAGTCCTAAAAGAGAATGTAGATCTTTTCTGTGGGAACCAACAACTGGCCACAGATGTGCTGGAAGACAATACAATATATGGAAACACGTCGTTGAAGTAGAATGACGATGAGGAACAAAACCTTGCCCAGTACTAATCACAGATACCAGTTCTAAGCGTCTGTCTTCATAAATCTGAGTTACTCTGCTGTTTACGCTCTACTAAGTGTTGAAGACGATTACATAACAACAGGAACACGTTTCGTTATTATAAAGAACAACAACTTCAGGTACGAAGAAACGACGACCCTTTCAATCCTGTCAAGTAAATTTTTTCCAGAGAATGGAGAAGTCTTTGTCGGATATTATATTTCACTTAATATCGTCAAGAACCAAAAAATCAAACAGCTAAGCAACAGTATCACCACTCAGCTGTTTCAATCCTCCTCACGAAACGAACGAAACACTTAACTAAGCGAAAGCGTGGATATTATTTGTGACGCCTGTGAAAATCAGGTCGTTAGGTGATACCAGCGCTACCCTTCATGAGAAAACATACGACGCAGAATTTCAACTTAAAACCTTCGCGATCGCTAACTTGGGAAATCCATGCGTTTGTAACAATAGATTAGCCTCGAGCACTTTCAACAGTTTTGGTAAAGACAAGCATTCAATCATAATCATCTTCATCTTCCATCGCCGCTTCTCCTTTCGGGTCGCGGAAGCAGACGCGTCAGGCAGAGCTTCCAACGTTCCTGATTCTGTGCCAGGGTCTGAGCGTCGGCAAAAGACAACTGGAGTCTGGAACAGACTCCTTCGATATATTTACACTAGGTTAATCTTGGCCGTCCCCTGTGCCTTCTGCCGGTAAGATTCGCAAGAAACAGTTGCTTAGCCTTCTTTTCTGAAGGCATTCGCAACACATGGATTCAATCATAATCACCGTTAATTGCAAAACAGCTCTAGTGCCGTTTATCTTAATCATTCGATATTAAGGTCGTCATTTTATTTTAAATCCTTATCATCAACGCCACCCCAACACTGTATTTTATGACTTTGCCAGATAATTTACGTAAACGGCGTGCGAATAGCTCAAACCACAACATTTTTGGCCCGACAATGAATGACAAGGACTAATTCGCTGCCCTAAAATTAAAAGAATCAAAATACGTTCAAAACGAAGTTCGGCTAGGAGGACATGGAGGAAAACAAAAGGTCTAATAATTAACTTTTGGCGTTTGTGCATCAGATAAACACGTTCAGGAAACATACTGTCTATTAACAGAATTCGAGCTAACTGCAACTCGAAGATACACGTAGCAGGGCTGGCTTCGGTTATGTACATGAAGCTAATTCTAAATTATATAAACTCCAGTTTAACACCTCAATCACAAAGTTACTTCAAGTCACCCAGGCTGCCGGTAACGTGGTTCCGTCTTTGTTTCGTTGATCATCACGACTAACTGTTTCTATTTCATGGTCTTCAGCATGACTGTTCTCAACTTGCTTGCAAGAAGACAAGATTTAAAGCAGCTGGTCGTAGGCTATCTAAAGAAAAATGTTTCAAATAAAAGAAGTTTTTCCTGACTCGTTTCCTGCTACCTTTGCACGGCTACGTACAGCCGACCCTGACGTGTGAGATCATCGACAGGTGAGCAACGATTCGTACCAAAGCCTCTACTACCGTTGTCCATGCAGCTGAAGAAGGGAGATCCCACTATTCCAAAATACAGGTGTCCCCCAACATTACAAGTTCGCAAAGCCCTATGCTCGATGTTACTTTTCACAAGGTATATGAGACTCCTCATAACATCATTTGATGTGAATACTACGAGACAGACATAACCAGATTGCATCGTCTGATCAGTTAAATTTTCTTGTGTATTTTACGTTTCCCTGTCACTGAAAAATGGTTTCATTAGTTACAGTTACAATTGCAGACTATGAATGACACAAGCATGAACTCCTTATTAAGGAGTCTCTCAACATACTGCTTAACAAAAAAGGGATAGAAAACAGTTACACGAATTCTGCTGACAGTTCTGCTAGAAGCCTGAAATCTGGTTCTTCCTTTTTTAACTCAGATTCTGTTCAGACTGTTAACCAGTGCGACCTCCAACCCAAAAATACTTCTCAAACTGTTCTGCAAAAATTTCCACCATAATGCTTATCCTCCAGATTTTAATTTTTGTGTAGTCTGCCGCTTAATTTTGTTGTTTTTCATGTCAGTGAAGTAGCTAGGGCTGCGGCCGAGGCATCACAGCAAACCGAGTCTATTCTGCCCCAGAGATCACTGTTTTACTGAGAAGTTAGCCAGCTACATTTCGTTGGCATGTATTGAAAATGACGTTCCAAAAACTTCCTCTTCAAGTCTTCTCATGTTAAGTGTCTGGCTCATGGATGCTACTGCGCTGCAGAAGAGATGCGGTTATTTCTGGCTGTCAGTGTTTCATTTCATGCGAAGAAAGAGTGTTCTCAGAAACCCCGGCACGGTTCCAATACTACGAAGATCTCTCGTTTATCTTCTGCTAATGAAGCCTGTTCTCACTACGTGGGACTATCTGGAGCTTAATTTTATGATGTGCATTGCCATGAAACAAAAGGCGTTACAAATCGCGGAAAAAATTATGATAGTGGCACAGTGATAGGAAGTCGGGTTCGAGTTCAGGAGGTGTCGAGTTACGGTTTCATGCTAAATGCTGTTTTAGCATATCATATAAATTTCAGAAGTCTCTGTGAATTCATCCCAGCGGACAGCTGACAACCGAAAATACAAAAATTTCAGTGAACTATTGCAAAACTTCACTGTGAAAACATGACAAAAGTATGTTCGTGTTGAACATATAAGTTCAATGTCAATTGCATAAACAGAAAACTACCAACTTCGGATGGAGTCACATTGTGCGAAAGCACGGTATTACCAAGAGTTCTACAGCGCGACCAGGGCATTAACAAAAAGGGACGAAAAACCTTTACGAGTGCAACAGCGGACCATGTAAAGAGCGATGCTAGGAATTTCTAAGCTGGACAATCTGCGGAATGGAAAAATAAGACGCGCGAGAATAAAAGATCAGTTTCAAACCAAAGAAACAATTTGCAGGTCATATCGCACGAATGACGGATGACCGATGGGCTTAACGGTGACTCATCTGTACCCAAGAGGATGCGCAAGCATCCAAGCGGAAAACCTCGCTTTAGATGGGGCAACTAACTGATAGAGAGATACGAAAGCATGTGACGATAACTCGCATGAGACAAACGAACACGAGCATAGCACGAGCATTAAACTAGCCAGTGGTGATCTTTGTTAATTACGAAAGATCAGTTAATTGTTGCTGCATATTTATATATGTATATTTTGGCTTGCCCTTATATGCGTATATCTTAATTTGATACCCAGATTCCTTATTCGTTATCACCAGTATACTATCAACTCGAACAAACAATCATGGCAAGAAGTCGTGCAAGGTCCTCTCGCCCCGACTGTTCACCCTTTTTCATTAATGACTGTCCAATCAACGCTGTGCTTCAATATTTCAGGTATACTGACGATACGGCGGCGCTTAGATTTCTAAGATCTAAGAGAACTGTAGGTAACTCTGAGAACCGACATATTTATTGTCATTATTCTTCATCCATAACACGCAGGAAATAAGCGAATGAATCTGAATGATATGCAATAAGCTGGTACTAACTGAATTCTCCGAAAGAATTCCAAACATGCACGACGATTACGAAATATAGGGTCAGTACATCAGTTATTTAGGAGTATTATTATAAGCGCACGTCTTACGAAACCAGCATATCCAATGTATAACAATTCAATGCTGCACATCGCTGATTCCTGCAAAAAGACTGAAAAAGCCGCATGGTCGCAAAGATGCTATTAATTATTTTGTTTGCACATGCGTTTTGTCTTTTCATACTTATAGCGCAGATGTCCTTTTCCCTAGACTAACAGCGAGCCACCTGAACGATCTGCAAAATTATTACAACTTGACTCAATGCTTAATGACCTTATATTAAACGAAAAGGCATTATTACTGCCGAACCAGAGGTTGCACATGGCACTTGATATTTGTAAGGTGGACAACAGCGGTAACTGCATTCGCCCTCTGTATGATAACATCGTACAGGATTTGTCAAGCAGTGCATCGACCCAATCTAGATATATTGGTACATGTGCGAGGACAGAATTACAGAATCATATAGGAAGTCCATTGTTCCAACCTCAATGCGAATCATCAGAGACAGTGGCAAGGTTAGGCAGCATTATTTCGCGATGCTTATGGCACCAATTCATTTTTGTTCATGCATTCTGTGTTATTATTACTGTTAGTATCGTGCAATCAATAGAGCTGAGATCCCTGTTCTACGATCTATTCTGTTTCTATCTTTTGCTGGGTTCGTTGAAAAATGAAGTTCTACGGTGACTCACTTCAAGCAGCATAAGCCTTCATCTTGACGATTAATCTCATTCGTTGCGAATAATGCGAAATCATAGTAAATCAAAGGTCCCTACCGGCTCAACAAGCATTACAGGTTAACCAGCTAACTGGTACCATCTAATTCACTGGGGAACCAAAAGATACAGGGTTCCCAGCACAAACTATCTCGGCATTATTTTAGGCAAAAGTCTACCCTCCGTGCACACGCACAAAACGCAGTCATCTGAGTACGGGTGCAGTTATTTTTTTTAAACATCCAGCTTCATTACAGTTCCCAAAGGAATCGGGGCGCTGTCTCTCAAAGTCTACATACTTCCTCTAATTACACATGCTTTGCAAATATGCTTTTACTACCTTCGTAAAGTGGCCTACGGATATCTCGATCGCTTCTATAACTGTCGGTAGAGCAGGGTAAGCTATTTTATATGAATGTCGAAAATGTCGTGGAACATCAGATTCTAAGATCCACTGCAAAGTTTCGTAAATCTATTCCAAGCGATTCTCCATCCCTTTAACCAGACACGATCGAATTACACTTCGAAATCTCATTCCACAAGGTCCCATTATGTCTGCGTCTAAGGGATGACAAAGGAAACAGAATATCTGTGATCTCGCAGATTTGTACGACTACGCAGAATGAGACATGGGAAAGGCGGAACCTGTTCGAACCAATTCTTTTATGTTAAGCAAAACATTTAGATAATCATCTGAATTAACTTTCTATCCACCAATTCCTCTCATTTTGATCGTTCTTTATTCCCTGTCTCATTGTGATGTGTTGACACAGTAACAACTGTCGACTTTTAACTGCTTAGTTATCGGGATCGATTTCGGTGGACGGCAGTTTTTGTAATAACCGCGAATTCCCTTATTCCCTGAACAATGAATTTACTATATACTGCCTCATATAGGAGTTGCTCAGGCTCTAGAGCGTTGGACTCAGAACTGAGAAGTACGGGTTCGAACCTCAGTCGAATCTGGATCACTGAACTTTCTTCCTTGTGGGGGTGAGAAATGAGGAGCACTCTGCGGAAAGAAGACAGGAGACTACGCAGCTCTGCTTACCACATAGCTGCTGTCGACTGTGCCTTCAACAGGTACTTCTAACTAATAGCACGGAAATGGGAATTAGCGCTCCTACAATTAACGTCAAGAAAAGAACGATACCAGAATGACCTCATCAAGAAAGTTAAGGAGGACCGACATTCAAACGGTTGCAAACTTGCGCTGACTAGTTTCATTATCGTGTATTTTGTCTGTTCTTGAGCGTTAAGCATAAACTGCCATACAAATGGATCAGTGATTGCTGAAATGTCAGTGTGTGCTAGTTCTATGTGGTATTTCCGCTAAATTAAGCAGTAAACTCTTCTGACTTTTTGAAACTGAATGATTTTTAAAATACCACCGCAATAAAAACTTTGCAATTTACAGTCGAATCGGATAAGTATTCAGCGAATGACGACTTATGAAACTGTGATAAGTGATTAACAGTTAGAGGATTTCATAAAGGAGTACCAGATTCCCAAGAAGGAAGCCATCAGAAAGGAAACGTTGCAGAACAGCACGATATACCGCATTATGTAACGTTCGAATTCCCGGATGAAGGTTTGTGTTACGTGAATCCGAAAATGGGAACAAAATCCACAAGGTTATAGTATTCAACATCATCGCTTGCCCGAAACCAATGTTTTGCATCATGCTACTCAAGTTTTAGGCAGCGCTGCGTTCACAAACATGACAGTGCGACTGTCAAAGACGGTATTGCAACAACGGCAGAGAAAAGTGGAAAATAATGCTACTAGTCGTAACAATAGCAAATGCATAACTACTTACTCCACCGCACATTCCCGTCTGTCCGGTGGTTCTTCGAGTGCCCTTCTCCCACGGTTCTAAATGCTGCACCTGAAATGGAAACGAAACGTTCACCAGTGACAAGGCGTGGTGCAGAATGCTTACATTGTAAAAGATTTCGTCGATAACCTCGTGGTAGGTTTTTAACTGGAAAAGAGTGTTCTTGAAATAAGGAGACTGGAGGATGTTCTCCAACACCAAATGGTTCAGGTTCATCGTTTCCTTACTGCCCCAGTAGTAGAGCGTGTTGCTCTGCTTCGCTCTCGAGTACGGCTGAATGGCGAACGAGTTCTGGTGTTGTTCGGCGACGTTCTCCTGTTGTTCCTTTGGCATCTCTTCCGTTGCCATCATAAGCAACGCCTAGAGTACACAAAACGTACTGTCAAATTGTTGAACAAAATACTGCGTATAACATGGAGTCGACGCGCTGAGAACGCTAAACAACGCAGGTCAACACAATTATTTACCAATACAGCGATCGTCTAATGCACTACCGAACAAAGGGAAACAATCACTACCAACAACAACAACAACAACAGTAAGCACAATTCCCGCGCGTAAGAATGACCTAGAGGCGACGACCGAATGTACGACAATTCCGGCAGAGCTAAAGCAAGTCCTGCTCTTAAAGCAAAAGAATGTTACAGTTTTATGAACAGTTTAGAAATTCGCAAAAAAACTATAAATTCTGTTCAAAATGCAAAACTTTCTGAACCAAACGAATAGCTTGCGTAGACAAATGCTTTACATACGTAGTACAGCACAAAACCAATCACTGCATACAGTAAGAAAAATGCATGCAAATTTATTTTCCCTACGAATCCAACTATGAATTTAATGATAATCTCGAACATTAAGAGCAATTACTTAAATATATTCTCATTGTCAAGGCACAGAAAACGATTATTTGATGAAGTTTTTTCAAACTGCCTGTAATATTTTTAAAGTAGTACTTGTTCATTTAAAAATTTTAAACGAACTAGACTGTCCTTTTTTTGCGAATTAAGGTGTACTAATATTAGTACATTTAAATACAATCTATCATTCTATTGCGTTAATGGTTAAGTTCGGACTTTCGAAGTACGCAATCACTGTTGAATACTGAGCAAGATCAGCGACAAGTTTTTATCTTAGGATGACAAGAGTCAAACTTACAGTAGTTGCCCTCCCATTTTACTATTAAAATATCAAAGGGTGATATTAAAGTATCATTTAAAGTCAGAGTCATTGCTACTCCTGTTTTAACGTTAAACGAATTTCTGGGTGTTCCACACATTGGTAAAACTTTGCAGGCACTTGACTGCAACATTGCACAGCTAAAAAATGCATTGCGCATATTTAAGAAACAAGTGGCTGACTGACTGAATCTGAGCCCATCAACTTACATTCATTCAATCCCATTTCATATATGCGTTTAGATAAGTGTACTGGGATAATGCTAAGGTCACACTGAGTAATTATGCCAGTTACATTATAGAGGTAGCCAAACAATGTCTGCATATCAAGTCTCGGTCTTCTAGTCGCACCCTCCATGCGGCCGCGAAGCATGTAGAATAGGCATTCGAGAGGCTTCGACGAACCTTTTCATCGTTATGATTAGCCTAGCTTTTCTTCTATTGTAGTTTTACTCCAAAAATGTTGCATTAATCGATGCAATGGAGCTACGGAGTCACTTAGTGTGCTGTGAATGACTAAAGATTTTGTAAACTCTGAATATCCCTATCGCTGACAACTGCAGTTCCTCACCATGCCTGGGCGCGGCTTCAGCTTTTTCAGATTTGACGCAATTGAGCATTTAATGACGGTGTTCAGTAGCCGCTGCCTATTACTGTTTTAATTCTTTGCTGATTTTTAATTACCTAGTGGTTCACTTTTTGAAATTGCAAACCTTTTCGTGTTTGAAGGATGCTTATTCATCAATTTATTTGCTTATTTTGTAGTTAGCGAATTATCTAGCTACAGAGAGTAGTCATTCTGCTATGCGGCCTACTACAGCAGGATCGAATTCAAAGTCAACGCAAAATTATTTAATTAAATTCCCTTGAAAAGAATTGATCAATTCCTGGCTCTGCCCAACTTTCTGAAAAGTTAGAAGCTCGTCTATGACTTTCGAGCAACTATGACAACGTATTTTCGATGTAGCTGTGCAAAAATTGCGAGACCTACCATGATGCAATCAATTTCACCCATCTTATATCTGACTGAAATCCACTTGATGTGGAGGCGTTAAATGTGTTTGAAAACTGTTCTACATTCTGCATCATGTGTTTCTTTTTTTCGCAACTTTTAACCTGTTGTCAAGCGGAATGCAGACGGCACGTCAACAGCATCGATCTTATACGTTAATATAAACACAACAGAACGTTAATGTTGACTAGTACCTGCA